AATGGGGATGATGACAGGGTATGAAAATTAAAAATATAATTAGTCCGTAAGTTGGGTAATTAAAAAACATTAGACACGTATTTTTTTATTTTGTCGTATAATAAAACAATACTTAGATAAAACGAATCAATGTTTAGGAGTGGGGGCTAAAACGTCATTTCTTAGTATAAAATGTACTGAGAAGTGACGTCACACGACATTTCAAATCAATATATCTTCGAAACTATTTGTTTCCGTAAGAAAATAAAAAATACGTGTCTAATGTTTTTAAATAATCTACCAGACGGACATTAAAATAAAAATTAGTCCAGATAATAAATAATCGATGAAAAGTTAATATTTATAATTTAAAATACGTGTCTAATGTTTTTAAATAATCTACCAGACGGACATTAAAATAAAAATTAGTCCAGATAATAAATAATCGATGAAAAGTTTATAATTTTGATTTTATAGCTGTGCCCAAATTTTTTCGAGGAATTTAAGCCAGTGTGTTTTTAATATTGTTTTTATAACCTTTTAAGACTTCATGATTATACCCTCTTTTTCAACGTCTTTGGAATTAACTTTACATCTTTGTGATAATTGGGTACCTACCTACATGTGATACGTACCTACTTCCAAATAACTCAATAAGAGATTAAAGTTTAATGTATTTTTTATGGTAGTACATAGTCGTATAAACATGATTTATTAGTTGGAGAGCGCCTAGTAAAAATATCATTATGTTGACTACCGCTTTGCAATTCTTTTTCATAAGGAGCAATACAGTTTTTGGTTCTCTTTTGTTACTCAACACGGATAGAAATTTGGAAATTATACCTAATAGAATGGAATAGAATTACCTACCATCTTGGTAATATATTTTCATAGATATTATGTTTCATTAACATAAAAATAACATCACGCGTAAAATTTTTGAAGGATTTGGCGTAGATCTATCTTATATGTCACAATAATTTTCCTAACATAAATCGTTGAGGTAAATAATCATAAAATTATATTGTTATACCTTAGCATGTTTATTTGGATTATTACTTATGAAGTGAAAAAACCTATACTGTAAGTATTCAGCAATCGCTCTGGCACAAAATTTTTCTTATATTTTGAGAAAAGTATTTTACATAGTACTAGCGACCCGCCCCGGATTCGCACGGGTGCAATACCTACTTATGTAAAAATACCTACTACAAAATGTCCTTATACACTATGTTCACAGCTATTTTGTCATCAGACAATACAAACATGTTCTAAATTGATATTTTCCCGATAAACGCGTGTGATCGTTGCAAGTCATGAAGTTCTCAAGGACGATACGCGGCCATCAACGCCGCAACAAATACGACCCTGTATTTTAAATTTGAAATATCTTCAGAAATATTTTCTTTATTTCCATTCCATCAACAGCCTATAAATGTCCACTGCTGAGCAAAGCCTCTTCTCACACGGAGAAGGTTAGAGCGTTAATCACCACGCTTGCTCAATGCGGGTTGGCGATTTCAAATTTATAATTAGAAATTATAAGTCCAGGTTTCCTCACGATGTTTTTCCTTCACCGTTTGTCAGTGGTGTCTAAATAATCTTAGTAAGTAAGTATAAGTACATATAACTCGGAAAAAGTCACATTGGTACTTGCCGTTGGTAGGTTTCGAACCCGCACCCTCATGCATGAGAAGTGGGCGTCTTAAACCTCCGGGCCACCACGACATTCTTTATTTACATGCTGTAAAAAGCATATTGATCAATGATAAATGCACAATTTATTTAACTCGTCGAGTACCGGTTTTGTAGATACAATTATAGAACAATAGGTTGCGGTCACCGGTGACCGTTTGGTGTTTGACAGTTTAAAGTACTTAATTGGATAAGGATTAATGCTGTATTGCTTAAAATCACTTCGTAAACAACCATTGATAGTAAAGGATAAAAAATGGTTATGGTGGGTTATCCCTAATAGATAGACATATACCATCGCGGACTTTTTGTTGAACTTTTTAAGGTGGTCAATACTGTAGTACATTGTTTTGGTCTATTTCTATATAAAAACGTGCTGATTTACGACCTCACATTAGAGACCTCTAAATTTATCAGTGTTTCTCTACCATATTATGCATGTATTATACCTTCCGTAAGAATCACTCTATCTATTAAAAAAACTGCATCAAAATCCGTTGCGTAGTTTCAAAGATTTAAGCATACAAAGGGACATAGGGATAGAGAAATCGACTTTGTTTTATACTATGTAGTGATATATTATGATGTTAGGGAGACAAGCACGAGACAAGGGTTGTAAACATACATTTAACGAGTGCTCCACATATACCTGGTGCCCTGGTACTGGTACCTACTGTTAGAAGAGACAATCGC